ACCAAAAAAAAAAAAAAAAATCAAGGATGTGATGGTGAAATGCAAATGCTGGGATTTATAAGTGTTATGTTTTAGTGTAAATTTGAAGATATGTTCGGGTTGAATTGGGTTCGGTTGGATTTAAATAAATAAAAAATTTATAAATTAAATTTATAATTAATTTTAAAATATATATTATACTCACCATTTTATTTAATTTCATGATTATTTATTTTTAAAAGGTTAAAAATAATTTTTAATTATTTGGAAGGTAATTTTTTCGAGAATAACTTTTAAGTTGGATCTATTACATTATTTAATAAAAAATATTTAACGGAGAATATAACTTCGAAAGGCATTGGTATATGCTTTTGATACATACCATTTTGAATATTATTAATGATTCCAAATAACATGTACGTTTGAGTATTTATCGAATAAAAAAATTATTAGATTATTTATTATTTTAATTTAAGTTCATTGTCGGGCCCATATTATTTTTCTTTTAAGGTTTTAAAACGAGTCGTTATCGAGAGAGTCCATCTCTATTCTAACTGACACTGTCCGTAACTAGTTTTGATACCATTTGTAATGACCCAAGTCTACCACAAGCAAATATTGTTCGTTTTGACTTGTTTTACGTATCTCACATTTTGACCCGTTACGTATCTCACGATTTTAAAACAAATCTACTAAGGAGAGATTTTTACTCGAGATTTTTACTCGATTGTAAAGAACATTTCCCTCTCTAACGGACGTGGAATCTCACTTCATTATACAGAGATCAAAATGACATTTTAAAAATATAGAGACCCAAATGAATCAAAACGAAAAGTACGAGCACTATAATCCATCTGGTTTAGGCAGACATAGGTTTGGTACAATCATTCAACTTAGAATAATTTATATATCAATTAAAACAGCCATTTTTTTTTAATATATGCTTATGTGGACTTTATTTTAAAGCCCATAAATAAATAAAAAATAAATACTTTTCTTTAGGTTATGATTTAATTATAATCTTTTATATGCTTTCCATGAATATTTTTTTCATAGCTTTGATGAATGGAAAGAAGTTCTAGGAATCTCTTCTTCACAAGATTTATAAGTCATATGGCCATCATCATCCAACCCATGTTATTAGGTTAAGTGCTTTTAATTTAACTTAAATCGTAATCTATTATACCCACTTTTATTCAATACTTCTCGCCCCATTGATTTCGGGATTATAAAATAATTTAATTAACATTAATCGAAACAGTTGGTATACTCATTTGCAGAAGTTATTTCGTTTCACGACATCGAGATACTGTCTGCATGAATTTCTCGACTTTGAGACTTGCAACAAGGGCACTGAGACACTGTAAAGGCGTCTATCTCTCGAGTTCTTTAGTTTGCATTTCATGCTCTCTTGGTTCGATCTTTTTTATCTCGATACTTCTAAAACCTTCTAATTATTTGACTCGAGGCTAATCGTTTTGGGTTATTTACTTTTGATAAGCCCTCTATGTTTGCTTATCACATGGGGGATGTGGGGCCCACCCCTAAGGTTTTGAGGGTCATTTTTGTTGTGTCAGTTAATGGACTGACAGTTCCATGTGGTTTGGGGTTGGTGAGCTCTTGTAAGTCAAAGGTTTTTGTTGGGTTTGGATGACTTGTTACTTTTGAGGTTGTCACATGTCTATGTCTATATTCGGTACTAAATGGTTCGACATTCACCTACAACATGATCACGTTACTTACTCATCGTTTCTAAGAGTGAAAGCTGTCTCCATAAACCAACACGAGTCTACTTACTCCGTATTTTTAAGAGTGAAGACTATCCTCACAAATCAACACGAGTCGTTCTTTCAGTATGATTTGTCACTCACATGCATCCTAAAAAACATCTAAGTCACCCAATATAAAATTATTTCGAGCAAAACATGCTTAATTAAGAAAAGCTTAAAAAAAAATTGAAAGTTACTACTTATACTAATAAGATACATCTTTATTTTCGGTGGTTCAATCATAGGAATTTCATGCTTAGAAAACTTCAACATTAGATGATTGTCTTTGGAAATTTCTTTGGATAATGTAAGTAAAGACAAAATATGTTGAAAGAACCTATATTAATTTGTGAGAATAGATAATGTGATCATATCGCAAGGAATGATAACTTTTCTGACATAGATCATTACGTAAAACATAATCCATATTACAATCGAATGATACCTTAACTTTTCCGACAAGGAATGATAAGTTGTCTCCAAAGAGATACTATTAAACAATAGTGAAAGGAACATGTAAGTTAATGCCATCCGCGAGCCTCAATTGGCCCGCTGATAGTTCAATACTCAAAGACCAAAAGAAAAAGATTCTCCTCATGGCCTTGCATTTGCCTGGGATGGTTTTTAGTTCAATAAATGTTCCCGTCTCGAGGTTGAGGCAGGAAAAATCTTTTCTGTCTTCATCTCTATCTCATCCTTCATTTTTCATTTCTGTAAAATTTTTCATTTATTTTTACGACCCGATGATTAAAGTGACAACATCTCGACCCTGTCGCAATCGAGGTTGAAAGTGACAGCCAAAATGGAATTATTGGTTCAAATAAGTTAAGTTGATTGACTTTTGGAGGGCTCTAAGAGGTCAGCCTTGGAATGTGAGCTTGGGCCATGGTAGCTTCAAGTTCAATGGGTCTAGGATGGTATGTTGGGCTTCTTGATTCTAATGCATGATGGGTTTGGTTGGGCCTTCCAATCAAATCTTGAGTTTGGGATGGATATAGATGTCCATTTAACGTGTCTCGGGTTTCGGGTGAAGAATCTCTATTTAAACAAAGAATGAGAGAGGAAGTAGGAAGAGATTTCTCCTCGTTAGCTAAACGAGACTGTGGACGAAAATTATATTCCTCATCCCGACCCTGCCCTGTTTATTGTAATATTGAAATTTGAGTTATTAAAAATTACGTGAAAATTATGCTATGAAAGTATTGAGTTTGTTTTACTTAGAAAAAACGTTGTAACGGTTAAATTCCGAGCCGTGGAAAGAGTCTTTGTTTTTGTGATATATTCACATGGAATAACCTACTTTTCATGTGTTTTTTTCTTTTAAAATTAATTTTTTTTATAGGAGGAAATTAGTTGCAATAATTGTTCTTAATTATCTAGGTGAGTAGAATTGTATTGTTTATATTTATTATCAATAATTTATTTTGAAATAATTTTGGTTGATTTCTTGTTTGAATTCAAGTGAAATTATTTGCATCAAATTTAAAAAAATTTATTTTGTTTAATTGGTCAAATAGATCGTTCGTTGTTGAAGGAGAATGTGTTCGACTCGTTTACAACCTAATGTGACATTGGAGTAAAAGAGGGGTACATAAATAAACCGATACTACATTCGAATGAGAGCAATTACGAGGATAGAATACCAACAAAGTGCACATTTATTTTTAATGGCTCGATCATAGGAAGGTTAAATGGGTAGTAATTCTTGAAAATTTCCCTCGTACATACGTGTAATAACTTTGTTTTTCTAATGAAATAGAGATGTTACTACATGCATACGTAATACATGCAGAAAAGTCTTGAAAATATTTTATAAACGTAATAATGTTTCTAATATATTCATTAAATCAATATTTTTGTGTTTGTTTGTGAACTTTTAACCTATTTTATTCGAAATAATTATAAATTGTGGATAAATAAAATTTTTGTTTGACAACGACAACCCAACCCAAAAGGGTTAGTAAAAATTTTGGAGTTGGGTTAGGATACCAATCAACCAACCCGAATTTTTGGGTTGAGTAAAAAAAAAATCCCTCAACCCGACTCGGACCATGTACACCCCTAATCGTTACACGAGTTTCTAATTTCATTCTCATATATATTTTTTTATAAAGATGACATTGTAGAAAAAATATAAGAAAAAAAAAAATATTTTAAAGTTGGGTTACCCATCCAACCAACCGAACTTCTGTGTTGGGTCAAAAAAAAATCTCTCAACCCAACCCCGACCATGTAACCCCTAATCGTTACACGAGTTTCTAATTTCATTCTCACATTTTTTTTTTTTTATAAATATGACAACTTGTAGAAAAATATAAGAAAAAGATATATTAATACTAGTAGTTATTAAAGATTTAAATCTTCTATTTCATAAATAAAATTTTTCTTCATTAATTTCCATTGTTATATTTAAATATAATAACTCAGAAAATCAAAATCCAAAAAAATTGAAAAAAAAAGAAAAAAAAAAGTGGGGTAAAGCAAAGTATTGAGGAAGAGAAGGTCATAACAGTAATTTGCACAAAGGGAAAGGGAAGAACCCTAATGTGTTTGACGTAAATACCCTCTTCTGTGTTGAAGCCGCAGAGTCTGTATTTCCCTTCTCATCCCTCAATCTCTCTCTCCCTCATCTGCCCATTCGTAATTCCCAATCTCCCTCAGCCGCCTTCCTCTTCTCATCCCTTCTTTGCCCTTCTCCTCTCTCTTTTTCCCGATTTTCTTCAACCGAATTACCCGCCAAAAACCTTCCCCTTCCCCCCTTTCAATCCCTTTTCAAATCCCTCTCTTCTTCTCCGATTCCCGAA